CTTTTCATTAAATGCTTTCTTACAGCTTCTGTAGTTTTAATGTGTGCTTGTTTTACCTATTTTAATTAAGAAAGTATGCTGGTAAACCTTGTAAAGGTAGAAAATAGAGCATTCAACTAGAAGACCAATATAAATAATCATGTCTTTATTTTATTGGATAAAAGTTATCTGCCTCGTGCAATCTTACTTTTAAGTAGAGCCGATATACATTTAGATTGTGTCTGGAAAAACCATCTGCTTTGGAAAGGTCTTGTGTAATTTTGTAATAGTAAAATATTCATAACTTTTATTTTGATGTTACTTACTACATTATAAAACACTATTAGACCAAATGTAATTTTAGGAGGCTTGAGTTAAAAAAAACAGTGAAAAAGGAAGGAATGGGTGGTGTTGAGAGAGAGGGAGACAGACAGAGACAGAGAGAGACAGAGAAAGAAGAGGGCAGAGAGAAGACTGATTGTTAAGCTTCTGTCCATGGGGATGAATGACCTCAACTTAAGACTGAAGAAGAAAGTATTTCACCAAAGGAAACAAAGGAGCTATTGGAGAAACAAAAGGAGAGCGTTATTTTGACGGCTTGATTTTTAATCAATCTGTGAATAATTGATCGAACATGGTGTTTTTGTTAAGCACTAGTTTCATTTTGGAAGGAACATAGAGTGAATCACAGAAAACTTCAGTTAAAATCTTGGACTATGCAAGTGTGAATATTTAAAGTGTGAATATTTATGATGATGATATAGGATTCCCAGTCTTACTGAAATTAATCTTGTTTTGATGGCATAATTGAGTCACTGACATTTTCAATGCAAAAAAGCATAAAGCATAAATTGTAATTTAGAACCATAATGGGAACATATTTTCACCCCTATGTTTCTCATCTTTTCTTTTGTTTCTCCAGAGTAAATGGGAAGTTGGTGGCCCTGAAGGTGATCAGGCTGCAAGAAGAAGAAGGTACACCTTTTACAGCTATCAGGGAAGGTAGGCATTTTTTCTCATTATCTTTGCTTTTGTGTTTGCATGATACCCGTTACTATTTAAATATTATACACCTCTGAATATGCTGTATTTCTAAATTATATAGTTATATTTCTGGTTGTAATGTGTAAACTGAAATTTAAAACTCAGTACCTCTTACAGTCATATTAGGTCATGTGAAATAAAATAAAACAATCCTGCTGTATACTCCGGTGTGAGAAAAAAAAAACTGCTGTGTGTTGTTGGTGAGGCTATCATAACTGACTAAAGAGTTTTATATGTTTGATTTTGATTGCAGAACTTCTAAGGCACCTGTTAATCTAGAATCACTCTACATTCATGACTTTTAAGGAAAGTGCTTAAAAATGGGGGGATAGTGCTATCTTATTAGTCTTTTATATTTCTTCTTTCTTGATTTCTTGGTTCCTATCCTTTAATATATTTTCTGTTGGTTTTTCTTATTGATTTATAGATGCTCTTTACATATCAACATCATTAGATTAGATGACTTATCCCAGGACTTAGCTCTTGTACATAGATGTTCTTAGATTATAAAACAGTGTCCATACTAACTTTGTGGAGTAGTTGATTGGGGTTTTAGACATTCTGAGTTCACGAGACATCTATAAGAAAATGCCTTGTTGGTGATGTGGGAGTGTAGCTCGTAAGAGGTCAGCATAAACAGTATGTACTTAGCATGATCCTTAAGGTGAACAAGTATAACATTTTTATGGGTGAGAACTTTGAGTGTAAACAGGGAGGTAAGTTGTAGGACAGTGTAGTGAGATGGAAGGCCTTATGGTAGAGTCTGGAAAGCTGGGTTTCGATCCTGACTTTGTTTTTCATCACTGTACTAGTTTATTAGAACTGTCGTAATGTAGTCCCTCAGACTGTAGTCCCTCAGGCTCAAACAACAGCAATATATCATCTCATGGTTCTGGATCTTAGAATTCTGAGGTCAAGGTGTCAGGGCCCTCCTTCTGAAGGCCACGAGAGAGGGATTTGTTTCAAGCTTCTCTTGCCTTATAGATGGCTGTCTTCTCCCTGTGTCTTCATATCATCTTCCTTTGTGCTTTTGTCCAAATTTCCTTTCCTATAAGGACACCAGTCATGTTGGATTAGGACCCACTTTAATGACCTCACTCTAACTTGATTACCTTTGAAAAAATTCTTTTTCAAATACTGTCATGCCCTGAGATGCTGGGATTAGGCTATGAATATTGGGGGACACAGTTCAGTCCATAACACTACCTAAAGGCATTGGGCCCGAGTAACTGTATTTGCAGAACACAGGAGATGGTTTGTGCCATCTCTCAGGAACCATTTACCTCTGCATTGTGATTTTGATTTCCCAAGGAGTCTTTAAACTCAGAGCTTTGAATGCTCTGGACATCAGGTGCAAGAATTCTTGATCCCTGATGGAGGAACTGCTTACAAAATGACATTGTATTTTCCTTTGAATAAAATATTTTAAGGTTTTTCTAATAAAATCTGACTTCTGAGTGATTTTTAATGGATGTAAATGACCCTATAAGAATAAGAAGAATTAAAGTCTGGGTCAGTTTTGGTTAATTGTTCCTCTCTTGCCTTTTCATTCTTGCCTTTCTTAGTCTTATTTTTCTGCTATTTATGTGTGGAAGCAAAAGCTATCATCACTATTGCTCAGTCTTTTTTGGTGTTACTAAGTCCAGAAATCCATGCACAGTAACTCCTCTGTGTATCTAATGGTAGAACTTGAAATATTTAGGACAAGGGCGGGAGATGCTTGGGATATGTTCACTTTTACATTTTTACATTAATAAGGGAGTGGCATGGCTTGTTCAGTTGAAAGGAAGAGCTTTAATTTGAGTTTGCCTCTTTCCTGCTGTTTTGGTCAGTTTCCTCATTCACAAAATGTCAACAGCAGGAAGATTTCAAAGTAAGAAAGCACTGTGGGTAGTAAAGTAGTTTTCAAGTGACTGCTTACCACTTATTAGCTTACCTGGGAATTTAGATTTTTAACACATAATTTTCACCTAAATTAGAAACACTTGTAAGCAACCCTAATCTTACCCAAATTTATGTCCAAAAATGGACTTTGAATTTTATCTCATAGAGCTCGAGTGCTTAATGGCTTAATTCAGGTTCAGATGCTATGAAACTCATGCTGTCTTTGATGGGAGCTTAGAGAAATTGAGTAGCCACGCTAAGGCCGGCTTTTCTATTTTAATTTAAAATCCTTATACAATATCTTCATGGTTTCTGATGGTACTGATAAAGAGTCAGGAGGTCTAGGAAAGGTCTGAAAGGGAGTAGAAATTCCTTAGGATACCCCATCTTTAAAACAGCTTCAAAATGTGTATGTTATATTGCTCTGTGATATTATATTCTAGATGCCTGAACTTGTTTTTTGGGGTTTTTTTTTGGCTAAAATTTCCCCAGATGAGGAATAAAAGCAAGGGAACCAATTGTCTCTTCTTGTGGATTCTTGAATAGCTAATGATTTTCTTAGGTCAGAGTTGTGCTTAGAGAGAAATTGAGGTACTCTACCAGAGAACAATTTAAAAGGATAATGGGCTTACAAGCTTCTGCAGAGCAAAGGAAACCAGAAATAAAACAAGAAGAAAACCTACGGAATGGGAGAAAATTTTTGCAAGTGAAACTGACAAAGGCTTGATCTCCAAAATATATAAGCAGCTCATATGACTCAATAAGAAAAAAATAAACAA